GGGCATAACTCCTGTGAAAATAACTGCTTTATGTAATTTGTTTGAGAAATTGCCGGTATTTTCATGAAACAAAAGGTGAAACTACACTTTCAACGGGTTTGCGTGTAATGCTCCATAATATAAAACGCGATTCTATTGAAACGCCTATAAAAATTGAATGTAGACACTGCTTTGCGCATTTTATTAATAAAAGCTCTTGATTTTCAAATACCATCAGAATTTGAAGCGGATTTTTTTCGGCCAAAGTTTAAATGTTTGCTAATTCAAACTCCCTTTCTTTAACAGTTCAATGGAGAAGGTATGATAAGAGCCATTTTTGGGGGTGTTGCTTAACGACGGAATCGGAATACGAAACGGAATACGGAACGGAAACGGAAAAAAATATTTATTTGGAAGGAATTTGAGAAAAAAAAATAAATGGCAAGAACTACGAAAATCAATAAAGATTGAAATAACGAAATCACACAACAAGTATGTTGAAATTAGGATAGGATAAATCCAGGAAAATAGCAAACAGTGTAGGAAATACATAACAGCTAAAACAACTAGAGGCTATAAAGAGAATGTGTCGCTCATCTACAACAATGGGAACTCTCCAACATTCTAGACTTGAATAGATTCATGACAAAAATCTCTTTATTGTTGATCTTGAATTTCTGACCATTTTCTGTTTATAGTTTCTCTATCTTCTTTTGTTTTAACCAAAAACACAAAAGAGGGTAAACAATTATGTTCAAAACTTACAAATATATATGCAATATTTTTTCTATTTAATATATTATTTAAAAATATAATTGTAAGTTTTGAACATAAATTTTTATTTTTTGAATATAAAAAGAAAAATATTGCATACATATTTGTAAGTTTTGAACATAATTTGTTTAAATCAATTTTTTTTCTTTTTTTTTTGATATGGAAACGTTTGACGTGCAATAGAAAAAAAGGAGATGAGGTATGATTGCCAATGAGACAACTATCCACCAAAGTTCAAATGAAGTGGATGTAACCAATTTTAGGCAACCGTCCGGCTTTCAACAAGAGAAAAAAACCCATACCGTATAGTTGGCTATAAAAGGCCCCGACATACAAAATATGAAACAATTCAATTGAGAAAACTAACGGCCAAATTTATAAGAAAACAATTTACGAAAAACAAATATGACCAACATGAACCAACGACAACCACTGAACTACAGGCTACTGACTTGGGACAGGCACATACTAAATGTGGTGGGGTTAAACATGTTTGTGAGCGCTCAACCTTCCCCTAACCTGGGACAGTGACAAGACAGCACAACAAAAGAACAAACTATAAACATCTGTTGAACAAGGCTTAACTTTTCAGATCGATACAAAGCAGAATAATCAAACAAAAGCACAGACCGGATGTGGCAGGGTATTTATTCATCCCTTATCCCTAACAAAATAAAGGACACTAAGTACAGATTGAGAGTACTCGCAGTTACTGACAGTTAGTTCAAAGCCAATAACAACTAATAAAAAAATTCATGTATCTAAGACTAAAATATCAATCAATACACATCCAGCATCAAATGGATTTAGTGTGAAGACGTCATTAGCAGTCAGAGAAAAACTTGACCTCGTACAATGCCAAAATAAAGGTATCGACTGATTGTAGTACCTTGAAAGTGCATATGTGTATAACAAAACTAGTATGATTTTAATTTACCTATAACAAAATCAATATTTATACCAATAAAAGCAATATTCAAAGATCTAATTACAGTGTTGAATTGGTAACCTAAGTTTGTTTAAAGGATTGATAAGTTAACCCGGATCGTATATCCATTTCCGGGCTCGGTCAACAACAGCACCGTAAAATTTAGGATGTGCTATTCCGTCTGAAATAAGTTTTTTTTACAGTTACAGCCAAACTTGCAAACCAAATCTTTGTATCTATGGAAGAATTTAGTAAAGATTTTAAGTAATTTGTGGTAACGAAATCCCTGACTTAATAATTTACAAGTACATGTAAATTTAATACATAGATTACCCTCATTGAAATCCAAAACGTCACTACAGACACGGCCATAACGAACGAGTTGTGATATATATATAACACCGTAAGATGGTGCCAGAGGAACATCACCGTCCAAATAAGCTAAAATTAACAATAACGAAAGAAAAATCAACCCTTTTATCGTAAATTTTTGTGTACATTTTCTGCTTGGTGTAAAACTGAAATATATCAATCTAGGAAAGGACACGTATTGCTGTTAATATTTGATTTATTTAAGGTAAGTTCCTGTGGGCAAATTTCTGCAGTATATTTATTAAATGGAATTTAGACGGGTCTTTACTGAGTTTGGCCATAAACTGTGATTCAGAACAGTGCATGAACAAGTCTACTATTAAAGGGGCACAATTGGTGCCCATATGAATACCTAAAATCTGTCGATAAACTTTATTGCCTAAACGTACATATGTGCTGTCAAGGAGAAAATGTATGGCTTTAATCATCTCATCACACCTTCAGTAAGTATATCTGGCATATTTACCTTTCTCGTTTGAGAAAAAGGCTTTATATGAGTTGCAGCAAATAAATTTGCAATTAGATTTATTGAACCACCATTTAATTAAATAGAAAAAAACTTGTGTTTGATAAGATTGTGTCGAAGTGTAGTGTAAAGAGTGGAAAGGTCAAAACTGTCAAACGAATCAAAAGGACCATCAAAAGCATATAATTTATTTAATACATCCAAAAAATGTTTTACACTAAAAAAATGGTCAATTGCACTAGTTTCATATGCTTTATTACAAAAAAATAATGATCAGTTCTTTGATAATAGTTAAGGAACTCGTGAAAAGCACTGAAAGTCTAGTAATTTTACGGGGTTTGATTTTTGTGCAGTTTAGGTAACTAATACATACTATCAAATGTTTAGAAGAGGCCTTAGCTGAGCTGTGGTTGTGACATTATTATTTATTATATGACTCTCTGTGGAGCGTACGGCCTTGTATATAGTCTATGTTAATGTTTTCAATTATAGTTATGCTTAAAACATCATACTGATTGAGTTACAAAATATTTTTAATTGTAGTATTATGAAATAAAATTCACGGCTACTTGATTTTTAGAAACCCTAGGACAAGACTACGGCACTGTGCAAATCGGATTTCCATGTACTGATTTTCCGCCAGTTTTTTTTTTTTTTTTTTACACCAATTCGTATTTAGTGATATTAAATCTAGGAGAGCATATAGTAATGCGTTTCCGACGTTAAGGGCATACGATACAGTTTCGATCGCACGGTGAATTTTTGACGAAAAGTTGAAGCTATTTTTCACCTAGTCAATTCAAATATGTAATAAAAATATACCTTTATGTACTTTTAGAGATAAATGGGGTCGGAATTTTAGACATTTGCTCAAAATTTCGGTTTCTCTGATATTTCTATCCATTGGATAGACATACCTAACTTTTTTGTTTCAAAAGATAAACACAAAAGGATTTTTTTTAAAAACATCTGGATTATCTTTCTACATATTAAGTGTATTTTGAATTTGTGTAACAATTCTTTGGAAATAATTTATTTTAATCACATATTCATTATTTTTTTTTAAATAAGAAAAGTCAAACAGACTAAAATGAATCGCACGAACGGCGTACGTTCAAGGTCTCAAGTAGAATACAAAATAAATGAACAAATGGAACTATTGCAAGTGGTTTACGCAATTAAATTACATACAATATGCATGCCCTTATTAAATATTTTTAAAACATAGTCTCATCATCTCCTGCCAATTATTTCAATACTTTATGCTTTAAAAAAAAAATTCTTTATAAAATATGCATGTGTAAATACATAACCCAAAAGAAATGATGTAATTTTTTTCTGTTTCCGTTTTCCGTTTCCGTTCGGTATTCCGTTTCGTATTCCGTTTCCGCCGTTTAGCAACACCCATTTTTTGGCCCTTAAAAATTGCAAAAATAGTAAACCTATTCAACCCTTAAAATTTAATTCAGTTTGATTGATACTGAACAGTTTAATATTACCTGGACACTTTTGTGCAGAAAGGTCACTTGTAATGCATTATGACGTAATACACATTCAAGTTTACGTATTTGACCTATAACGGTTATAATCTTTGTTGCAAAATATCTATTTTGGATAAAACTGTCGCTCATATCTAAATAATTATGACAAGATCTCCAAATGAAGTTGTTTGGTCAATTTTAGCTGTTTTGCACAAAATGTAAGAAGTTTGGAGCCTTTATACCAATATGTAACAGAAATTTAGAAAATTTGAATACCGATGTTCGACAGACTTATATCTTATGAACATCTGAAGGTTGTTATTTGGAAGATTTGTAATACTTTTTGATATTAGAATATAAGGGACTAAAAAGTGGTCTTCTCCGTTTATATACATGTAGTTGGGTATATGACAAAAGAAAGAGTGTCAATCCATTTTATACAATTACAAAACTCAATTACAACGGAAAAGCAAAAATATACGTTGATAAGGTTGCTCATCAAGTACAAAGCTAGTTGTCTTTATACGGACATGAATCAAAAAACAGTGTTATGTCAAAAAATACATGTTCCCGATTCGTTGTAAATATTGGTTTTGAAAGTCTATAGGCAAAACGATTGTGATGATGAAACCGAAAATTGAGGAAGTAGTGAGTTAAATTTTTACATTCAATATACATTGTCTTATTAGCTAAATGATCTTATCATACAAGGAACACAAAAAATACCAACTCATAAAAGACCGAATAATGCCATAATTTCTTAGTATAGACAGGTGTAGTATTTTTGAAGAAATTAGTCCACCAAATTTTGACATCAGTTGGACACTTTGTTCTACGCTAAGTAATAAAACAAATCCACAAGACAAAATATTTTTAAGTATACTAGATCTATCGTTGCTACATGTATCTAGAGGTTAAATATTGAGTTTTGAATTTTTTGAGTTTCTGACCAAGATGGGATGAGGAAGAACTTACGTTTAAGTCATTATTGTTATTTCAGTTAATGTAATGTCCTGTGACTTTCATACAAGTTGGTGTGGTTTGTCAAGGCATAGAACCAGTCGAAAATTTCAGTGGTGGAGAGGAAGATATAAACCTCCACGAGATCATACTACTGCATGTGAGTATAATTCTATTGTTAAGTAATCAGCACTTGTGATAGCCTTATCACCTAATTTTAATATTTTTTTTTATTTCAATGTATTGGCATTTACAGTTTAAATTGGTAATTCCGAAATATGGATGAATATTACTCGACATTTGTTTTTTTTCCCTGTTCTTGGTGAAGACAATATAGCTAACAAAAAAATTGAACCACCTTACGAACTGTTAAGTTATGTTTGCGCAAGTTACCGAGTGTGTAAACAATTCGAGATTTTTGTTCAATGTCGATGGTAAATGCACACCAACTTGAACGATGGATTTTAGGGGCAAATATTAACTCGGTGACTTGTATTTAATACATTTTCATTGACTTTAAACATTACTTTTTCCATTTTATAAATAGTACTTATCACATTTGTATGTCCGTTCGCAAAGACATTGATAAACCAATTAGTGCTGAAACGCATGGCAATCCAGAATGTGTCCGTCATGGTAACAAAAAGTTCAAATATAATAATTCCCCTTTTGCCACCAAGCGACAATAAATGTTGAACATCGGTATAATAGATATAAGAAGATGTAGTATGAGTGCCAATGAGACAACTCTCCATCCAAGTCAAAGTTTATAAAAGTAAACCATTATAGGTCACAGTACGGTCTTCAACACGGAGCCTTGGCTCACACGGAACAGTAAGCTATAAAGGGCCCCCAAAATTACTAGTGTAAAACCATTCAAACGGGAAAACCAACGGTCTAATCTATATAAAAGACGAGAAACGAGAAAAACTTATGAATCACATCAACAAACGACAACTACTGAACATCAGATTCCTGACTTAGGACAGGTGCAAACAAATGCAGCGGGTTTAAACGTTTTAATGGTACCAAACCTTCACCCTTTTTCTGAAAAAATAGTGTAACATCACAACATAGAAAGACACACTATAAAATATCAACTGAAATAGCTTAACTCAATCAAAGGACATATTAAAACTGTTTTCTTTTTTTTTATGAACCAAAGCTTTTTTTCTTTATACATGTTATAAATTATTTGTAAACAGTTACTGTTACTGATCATACTGCTTTTAAGAAATAGAAAACATTTTTAATATCAGTCTAGATTACAGATGTAAAACACATTGAAATACAATGACGTTTTTAATGTATTGACCAAAAAATATGTTCTCTTTACTTACTAGGTTTCATTTGTATTCATGTATCTGGTCGTTTATGAAACGAAATCAATAATTGACGTACTAGCTAAATTAGTAACACTCATCGCTTTTCAATTAGCAACATTTTAATTAAAACAGATAAATTAATAAAAAAATGTCATATCCGCCAATCAAATGAATTAGTGGTTTGTCAAATATAACTTACAAAAAACATGACAGATGTAGAAAAGGGTGAATGAAAATAACGGATTGTGTGCATGCTTCATTATTTAATGCCAACATATGCACACATTTTTCGACAATAAAGTTGGAGTAAATATTAGCAGGGAATAATTCACTAAGGAGATCGAGGTAACAATTTTACGCCTTATTGATATTTTCGTACAAAAATAACCGATGTGCATACGATCTCTATTTTGGGTTTCAGGAAAGAAAAATCCAGTAGTATGCAGGAATCAGTATTTGTTTTACATTATTGGTTTTTTTCTTTAGTAATGTTTATTCTTATTAGTTAGTAACATTCTATTACTTCCTTTCTGAAACAGGAAAATAATATAAATTTTATATTGAATAATATTTTTTTAAAGAAACCAATCAATCCTCACATTTGACCACTGCTTTTTTAAAAATGGAAAAAGTATAGTCAAAAACGTAATCAAAATTATTTCAGACATAAAAGTAAAATAGAAAAAAAAAACATGTCATAGAATAAAAAATCGATTTTTGATCGACGCTGTTTATGCCGTGTATGGACATATTTATTAATAAGGTAAGTAAATATAAAAAATGATATGTAAATTGATATGATATGTTCAGTAAGCATGTAAGTGAAACAAAAATAAACCGTAGAATAAAAACATAATTTTTCTTGGCTCAGGGTGATACGAAGATTTGTTCGCCCTCGAAAAGTCATATTACAGTAAATACGATGACATATGATTTTTTTTTTTTTTTTTTGCGAACATTAATTTTATGACCATTATAACGGCAAATCAAACATAATGACCTCAACTTTACTAATAAGAACTCTTGGTTCAATAGCTGTCTTGGAAAAAAAATATCCCTCTATCAAGGAAATCCTGATAGAAAACACAAAGTCATGTCCTTAATATCATATCATTTAAAAGAAACATACCTCATTTGTAGGTTCTGCAGGAATGTTGTTTAATAAAAAAGGAATATTCACAATTAGAATTTACATTATTATACTTATGTCTTTTGACGTATAAGTTTATATGGCTATTCGTTTTGGTCCAATTTGGTCACGTACAACTCTTAAATCTTCAAGTATTTCTACATCATTGGCTTTCCAGAAAAAAAATTCACATGCGTATAATTCATCAAGACTTAGTGTTTAATTCATTTTGAAGGCTACTGAAAACTTAAAATATCCTAAAGTTATGTCAAATTGTGTCAGTGCGATATTGGCCTGTTGTTAAAAAAAGGTTAAGATGTCGAATGATTGCAACATTTCATGAACAGTTACTTCAAGTTAAATGATCGTTTCAATGATATTTAATGCCACCACAGGAGCGCTGACTACTTGGCATGTGATCCCACCAGGAGTTGCATTGAGAACACCGATACTACCAGGCTTATATACTTCTTCGTCATTTGGTCTCTGGTGGAGAGTTGTCTCTTTGGCAATCATAACACATCTTCTTATTTTTTTTTATTATAACTTAGTACGCCAAGAAATTCAAGGTATGAAGCTGTCGGTGTGGTAAATTTAATTTTAAGTAAATAGAAAAGAAGATAGTAACCAAATCTTGAATTATTCAACGAGAGTATTTTTCCTAAAAATTACAGTACTGAACACCCGGGTTTGTAATGGACGCTGTAGGTGAAAACCGCAATTTCATAAAATGACCACTTACAAATGTTTTAAGCAACTACAAATGTATGTTCAATAAAATGTTCCCTTGCCATATGCCGAAAATTTTTGATCAGTTTTCATCGATATGGAATGACTATATAATGGAAAAATAAAACACGAGTGCAATACATGTATGAATAAATGGAGATATTAGGTAAACGCAAATGCGACAGCACTCCAACGATACATCTGTAACTAAAAAAAACACATCTAGAGGTCAACAAATAGTCTTTAAAGAAACACATGTGTCTACATAATATGCCAAGCTTAAATCGGCATGTGTCTCTTCAAGTTATTGGTGAATTAAAAAGAATTTTAAAATATGACAAAATTCCTAAAATAACAAAATAATAAGACAACCACTGACAATGGAGTAGGCCCGGTAAGACACCTTTTTTGGCCCCAAAATATGGCATTTTTACAAATTTGTTAAACTGCAAACTTTTAGCTATTTATTGAATCATGCACAATTACCGAAATCTTCACAATTTTAACATTATTTTGTGCTATTTTTAGACGGGTTTTGTCAAAAATGGAAGTGGCCGCACTTGTGTTCATTCATAATATTCAAATATATGTTGAACTTGATGATAGTACATAACATATATAAAGGTTGAGACTGAACACGAATTCGGCCACTTTCATTTTAGACAAAAACCATCTGAAAAGTGACGTTTTATGGCATATTTGATAGATTTTTCATATTCAAGCTTGAATTTGAGTGTCTTTTATGACCACATCAGTTCAAATCTTTAACAAAAATATAATTGAATCGACTGAAGTAGACACTTAAGTGTTTAAAAAATGTCAAAAATCATTCATCAGATGTACTTCAAATGTTAGGCCAAAATTAGCCCTTACCAGACCTTCTCGTTTGCTGACTAGAGACTGGCACATGAATATGCATGGGGTTTAAAATGGATTTTGTATATTGCAACTCTCTCCTTTAATTCCAAAACTAGTTGACTACCAGAACGTTAATAAAAGAAGATATTACATTGAAATGCAGTAGAATAGAACACTAGTAAATATAACTTTAAAATGTCGAAATAATTGATAAACATTACACAAATGCAACCAAAAAAAATAATAAATATAAACAAATGCTCGAAGTAACTGTACGTTTTTTTCAGCTCTAACTGGTAATAATGCATACATTTTGTCATATGGATCCAGCGAAGGAATGATCGCCGAACTTTATACTGAAAACATAGTATCGTCGAAAGAACAATGTCTTTCATTCTGGCATTACAAGACGGATTCTAAACATGTTTTGGAAGTATTGCAGAATAAAATGAAAATACACCAAGTAAACAGAACTTCAGCAAACAGATGGATCCGAATAGAAATTACCATTGAGCATTCTATTCCAAATTATATATATAATCTTACGTTTAAGGTCGTTCGTGGTATACAAGATATCGATGGCATTATCGCTCTAGATGATGTTTTATTAGTCAATAGAGCTTGTACAGGTAAGGCCCATTTCGTAATGTTAATTATATATTAATTCTTATTTTTATATCTTTATTTGTTCCAAACCGATTGCTTACTAATATTTCACATGATTAGTTGTCTTGAACGGGCGCAAGACATTTGGGCTAAACCATAAGCGTGACAATGGTATTATTTGGGCTAACAAAATTTGAGTCATATTACGTTTTGGCAATTATTATTTTAATTTTTAACCTGTACAGGTAAATTACAGGTAAAATTTATCAATATCAAAATTTGATATGAAATATACAAGATATTAAATAAAAAACTAAAAATACAATCTACATAAAAATCCGATCTTTGGGAAACCATGCTAGTTTGAATAGAAAAGAACTTCAGGTTTTACAATTTTAGATATAATATAATTATCCTTAGTGTTTTCTTCTGAGTTCAGTGTAACAAAAGATGATTTTATAAATCTATTGGATGTACTTTATTTTACATCTTATCAATGTTTTATACCTACACGATGTACAAAGTTAAAAGAATGTTTAGTGCTATAAAGACTTGTCTTGCTCAAAATCTTTCATTCGCAATCTTATGAAACTCATACACAATGCTAGGAACCAAAACTCGCAGAGTTCGAATTTGGCAGTATGTCACTACCGTTCTACAGTTCATATTTTTCATGCCGAGGCCCTTTTTTGCCGGCTATATGGCTTTTTCTCATTGTTGAAGGCCGTACGGCTGCCTATTATTGGTTACATCCACTTCACTTGAACTTTGGTGGATAGTTCTCTAATTGGCAATCATACCACATCTCCTTAATTTTATCATGTCACTCCAATGGTAAAAGGGGGGATATATTGTTATTCCATGATTTTACATTCCACACTTTTTTGTGCAGCTTAGTTCTCGGAGATGACATGACAAACATTGATAAAACTGCACCATAATGAGACTCCCCATATGCAGATGTCCACTTAGGGTTAGAAATTTTCAAGATGGCCGCCGTTACCATGGAAACGGCAAAAATGTGAAAAATCGAAAAGTGTTCCAAATTTAATGAAATTTTTAAGAAATATAACTCGTCCTTCGAAAGGGTGCCATCCATCTCTGCCCATATGCAGATGTGCACTTAGGGTTTGAAATTTTCAAGATGGCCACCGTAACCATGGAAACGGAAAAATTGTGAAAAATCGAAAAGTGTTCCAAATTTAATGAAATTTTTATGAAATATAACTCGTCCTGCGAAAGGGTTCCATCCATCTCTAGAACTCCATGCACACCGTCGTTAAGTTAAGACTATCAATAGTAACCCTTTTTAATGTAATGCCGCTTCATAGATGATGTTGCTGCTTGCATATAAGTTATTTAACCAAATTTTCCATTTGGTGAAGTTGAAATCATCCCTTCGAACAATTAACAGACGCCAGTTGATTGGCCGTTATGGAATATCTGTTTTACAGATTACGACAGATTAATCCAATTGCCGTAACCACAATCCAGTCCTCTTTTCCTGGGATGTGACTAACGGACTAGACTTATCACTGGATTTTTACTTACGTGAGCATCATGAAGGGTGCTGCATGTGGAGTAGGATTTGCTTATCTTACCGGAAAACCTGTCTCAGATCACCTACGGGGTTTTGGTGGAATTCGCGTTGCTCAGTCTTCAGTTATCAACGTTGTATTTTGTAAACAGTTGTTTGTCTTTTGGTCGTTTTTCGTTGTTTGCCATTGCGTTATCAGTTTAATTTCGACTTATGAGTTTGAATGTCCCTTTGGTATCTTTTGCCTCTCTTTTAGTGGTCAAAAGAACAAGATAAATAAGAAAATGTATTCTTGCTTTGTTTTGTCCTTTTACACCGTATTATAATGTATGCTTCACAAGTAAAACCCAGCGTGTTGAATTAATTGATGAGTTTAAATGTAATCGAATATCAAAACTAAGTGAATGTGTATACATATTTCAGATCTTTGGTTGATTCTGTTTAACTTACTCCCAGTTTCTATGTTTTTGGGACGATTTAGACCTAGAGATATTGTATAAACACGTAAATATTGTTGAGGACTGATAGAATGGCACTTTACTTTCGTTTCCGTGCAATTATTTATTAATTTTGAAAACAGTACTTTTATAATTTTAATATCTTGGTAACAAAATGGAGGTTAAGTTCGGTTTTGACGATTTTGACTTTTATTGTTCAGGAGTTATGGTCCTTGATCGATTTGGAGATGACACTTTTTGTCGATTCTGTTTAAATTATTCATGGACTGTTCAACCAATGGTCTTTTAAATTTTAATATGTTGTAACTAATGATGAAATTGATGTCAAGATCGATATTAACCGTTTTCACTTTTGCCAATCAACAGTTTTGGTCATTGATAAATGTGAAAATAGGCACACAATATGGTAGATCAAACAGGTCACAATGCCTATTTCTTGTATTTTAAGCTTCGGTTTCAAGTCTTACCAGAACAGATTTGTGTTTGAGAGAAGGGTATGGGTGTGCATCATATTCACACAAAATACCACGATCCCTACCGGACAGTATTCCTTCAGTGTAATTGTAAAAATGTTGAATGAGCAAAGAATAGTTCTCGTTTTGTAAAAACAAATTCGTAGGTGTATCACATATTTATCAAACTAGTCAAAACCAGTTTAAATACATACTTAGCTTGTTTGTCTAACAAATAACAATATAATGCTTATAATTATTGTCTCATTCAAACATCATGCAAAATGAAAGTTACTTCAAAAGATGTTGACAATAGGAAATCAGGAAGTTTTTATGATAGATACATAAACACATTAATATAAAATAAGTTCGTGACGCTATGATCAATATAACAATAAGAAGATATGTCATGATTGTCAATGAATCAACTCCCCAGCAGAGACCAAAAGAAGTAGAAGGTAAGCAAATACGTCACCGTACAGACTGTACAAATTAGCAAAACAAATACCGCATAGTCAGGTATAAAAGGCACAAGCTTGTAGTAGTTTCGCTCTTTAACATTTTACCATACCTCTTTGAAAACGTATTTTAGATAAATACAAACCTATATATATGAAATCTTTATCAGGATAACTTGCTCTGTCTTCTTATCTATACTAATAAAAATGTCAATGTAGATAAGTAAACACATTATGCTTCAAGAAATTATGTTTGCTTCTCAATATCATAATCATATCTCCATCCAAGTTGGACGTCATCGTTATCAATTTAACAAACAAATAATGGCAGACATCAAGTATTATGCAAACTGGGTCAGATACCAATAAGTAAATTATATGAGATTTTTCTGGAGTGTGATAAAATTTCTTTTTTTAGCCAAATGTATGAATACACCCGTATTATTACAGCCTTTTGTCATCATAGGCTATTTCCTAGTATCGATAAACCTGAAAATCATAAATGTATTTATTAAAGTTGAGCATACACGTGTTTTCTATTATGCAAACAATCACACGTGATTGTGTGTCCGCATAGTGGTCATCTATTGGTGTTTATATTGGATAAACAGGTTTGTGTTTTAAATATATGATATTTCAGATTGGTCAATATTTGTCGCGTTGCGTAAATATATTGAGTATGATATTTGTTATGTAAATAGCACGGGATTTTTAAAGCGCGAATAGTTGTCTTGTTTAAGTAATTTAAGGTATATGGTCATTCGAAGCTCGTATACCGTTCAGTAAGGCAGCTTAGTTTAGGTTAAGATATGTCCGAACCAGTACTCGATCTGAATGAAGAAGATTTCTTAAGGGACCCCTTACATGGTCAGCCCGAACGTCTGGACGCTTCCAATTCACAAGCTAATCAACAAAACCGTGACTTAGAAGACACTTTTGGGCTTTTTAAAGACTATTTGGATAAGAAACTTGTTGATTTAAAGTCCGACATTCTGTCAGAACAAGACAATTTATCCAAGAAATACAGAGATGAGGCTAATATTAAGTTCAAATCAGAAGGGAATCGGATTCAGTTTCGTTTTAATGAGAACATTATGGATGGTCTTAACAAAATCCACAAGGATCTTGTATCTGTTGCTTCCCCCTTTCTTCTATTACTGGTGATTTGGTGGGTAAACTTAAAGAAAGGAACAAACTCATCAGGATCGCTGATAACTCCACTGGGGGATGGGTTACGGTTAGAGAATATGAAAGTAACGATATCGCCGAAAATGATGAGGACGAGAAAAAGATTCGCCAGGCCGAGACTAGAGCCCTCAAAACACTCAACTTCAAGTCAGCCACAGCTTCTGCACCCAGTTACCAGCCATCCAAACAGCAATGATACAGTTACTGTTAATGATAAGTATCTAGATATAAGTTTGTAATCTTCTAGCTATGAATGCAATAACGACGAACTTGACGAATTTATGTCACAAGTTCAATTTCTTGAAAAATTAGATTTTTCTGCTAGTCATAACTTGAAAGGTGTTAAAGGCAGGCTTGCAAAACATTACGATTTTTGGGTTAAGATTGGAGCTAGTGATTTTGTTTTAGATACAATTAAAAACGGTTATGTAATCCCATTTTTAGTGCCTCCCCCTAGTATGCACATGAAAAACAATAAATCTGTTGTTTCTAACTCAGAATTTGTGGATAAAGCCGTTTTAGATTTAGTTGATTCTGGATGTGGATATGAAATTCCCTTTACGCCTTATATTGTTAATCCTTTATCAGTAGCCACCAATAAGTCCGGAAAAAAGAGGTTAATATTGGATCTTTCAATTTTAAATAAATCCGTCAAAAAAGAGAGATTTAAATTTGAAGACTGGTAAACAGCTATTCAATTTTTCAAAAAAGGTTCTTATCTGTTTAAGTTCGATTTAAAGTCTGGTTATCATCATTACGACATTTGTCCTCAGCAACAAACGTTTCTTGGTTTTTCCTGGAATAACAAGTATTACTGTTTTTCAGTTTTAGTTTTTGGTCTAGCTTCTAGCCCTTACTTGTTTACCAAATGTTTGAGATCTATGGTCAAATATTGGAGACAAAATTCGATTGATATTGTTTTGTATTTAG